TCTCATATCTATCGAAGGGGGACCATAATACGATAATGAATATATGGCTAGTCGAGTTGCTCGTAATTCAGAACTGAGTCACACAGCATACGAATGAGAAACAGAGAGAGAGAGAGAGAGAGAGAGAGAGAGAGAGAGAGAGAAAAAGATAGAAGGGTAGCAAATTCGTACGCGTCATCAAGTGACTCAAACACCCACCCTCCTATTCCCAAAACTTTTCTCTTTCTCTCTTGTCTTTATTACATTTACTCCCTCGATATATCCGATCATAATCATGTCTGATGTTTTATATTTTCCCTTGACATGGCAAAAAAGATTTTATCGCTCGATGTAGAAACTAACAGACGGAGTCCATTCACTTTTCAATGATTTTTATATATAATTTATATTTATTCTTTTTTGTTTAAATATTTGATGCAAGGAAATAGAAGACGAATGTTGGGAAAATGGGATTTCAAATGTTGAATATTTGAGCAATTTTTGTTGTATTCTTTTTATCGGATCGTGTGGATGAATAATAATGGAATTCAGGAACAAAAATTAATAGATATTATCGATTATTTATTATCAGAAATGTTAATTAAAAAAAATTATCATTTTGAATAGTGTACATTTGAAATATTAAATATCCGTTAATTACAATCTATATAGATATATTTAATAAGAAATAATTTCAAAAAGATACTCTCTCGATTTTGATCTATCACATATCTCATGTCGATTATTTTATTTCTAATTTTAATAATAGAAATCCTACCCGCCGGAAACGATCTTCGAGAATTTGAACGAACGAATATTCGTTCCTTGCAGAATAGCTCGGTGGTGAGTATTCAAACACACATACACACACACACACACATATATATATATATACATAATAGATATAACTGTATGATAGTAAGTAACAAGTGAAATTAATAATCTCTTTCTCTGACGTTTCGAAAGACGATATCCGTTCCGTTGGTTTTAAACGCATCATCGGTTTATCGTCTTTTTAATTAACCGCGGTTATAGGAGATACCTTCGTTTGCTTGCTTTATTTCTTTCTTTCTTTCTTTCTTTTTCATCTTCCTGTTGTTAGCCGGGGCTTTTTATCGTCGAGAAAATCTCTAGAAACGCATATAAATTGTCAAGGGTTCGTTCGTTCGTTCGTTCGTTCGTTCATTCGTTCATTCGTACGCGAATTTCCTGCATTTTTCGCATACGTTGAAATCGTCGAGGCACGAAAGCGTTTATGTATAAAAAAAAAAAAAAAGAAGTCAAACAAAAAAAAGGTGATAGACTATCGAGATGTAGAGAGAGAGAGAGAGAGAGAGAGAGAGAGAGAGAGAGAGAGAGAGAGAGAGAGAGAAAGAGAGAAAGAGTATTTTCGTGTGTTGAAATTCGTTCGTGCGTAAGCTTCGCGATACCAACGTCATCATCGGCGATTTTATATCTTTGTTTTTCTTTCTCTATATTCCTCCCCAAAGTGATATATATATATTTGTAAAATAAATATAATATAGAAGAGAAATATTTGATAACAATAGGTAGGAGAATATGTTACAATAAATCGGAAGATCACCGACGAAACGTATAATCTTTTTCGAAATAAAATTGATCCTTTTAGTCGCATCAATTGCTCGACTATATGTCATTTATTACAATACTTTTTCTAAATAAAAATGAACAATTTTATTTACAATTTAATTTTAATTGCACACAACGTGTAACGTTTGTCATTTAAATTCTAATTACTAAATATTACTTTATTAATTATTTCACATTGTTATATATATATATATCTTTAGATAAACATCTGTTCTAACATTTGGACACTACGAAAGTTAAAAATATTTAAAAAACGGACAAGTAAGCAAGCAAGCAAGCAAACAATCAAGCAAGGCAAGGCAAGCAAGCATGTTGTTCGAGTCCAATTGTAAAGGCTAACGAATAAAATCAACGTGTTTGACACGTTGCGTGTGCTTGTTTTGCAATAATCAATTGTTAATGGCGTTGCTTTTTCAAAATACTGTTAAATGACTAATCGAAAATGCGCAAATATCGAGTTTCTCTATAAACGCTTCCGCGTTATGCTATTTGAACTTTATAAAAGTGTTACGATAAAAACAATTTATAAATAATTCTCTCTTTACTTTTCTCTTGTTCACATTCTTCAAAAATGATAGCGAAAGATTAATCGCAAGAAAAACATGTAAAATACAATAATATCGAATGATCAATAAGAAAAAAAAGAAGAAGCAGACAGCATGTGTAGCAAGTGTAACAAATACAATAATTACATGCTCGAACGTAGATTTCAATGTTGTTACGCATACGTCTAGAACGATAATACTAATTATCATCCGACAATTAACTATGCTCCCTTGGTGGGTTCCGACATCAGTTAAGGAAACAGACAGAAAGTGAGAGAGGAAGAGGAAGATAGGAACGGACGAGTAAACATTTCGCAAGAGAGAGAGTGGAAACGTTCGCCATCCCGTGTGCCGAATAAACTCGCATACCTAACTCCGAATAAGACTAAGCGAGAGAGATAGAGATAGATGAAGGAGTACAGTGATGGTACCTAGTAGGAACACGAATGGGAAGAGAACTCAGAAGAGCAGAAGTCACCTGCAGCTTCAAGTGGATTACCGTCTGACTGTTTCCACCCTTCTTCGMTACCAACACCACCACCACCATTGGCTGCCAACACTGATACGCGAGAAACCGTAGCTGTTGACGAGAGGGATAGATGGTCCCTCGTACCCAAGTTCCGTCTGTCTCTTCCTCTCTTATTTGCTTTAACCTCTTTGAAGGTGGGCCAACGTATGAAGTAACACTTACGAGCTCACCGCAAATGAAACGTGTGCGAGGAGAGAGACAAGTTCCAGCCAGGGTAGGATTTGCTTTGGGATTTGGGTGTAGTTGTGTAACGTAACGTAGAAGGCTCGTATACGGCCTCATTAGCGAACGACGTAAGAATTTTTTGTCACTTCTTTCAAACCGCCGACGACGTTCATGCTTTTTTTTTTATCACCTAACGCCACCGCTCCTTTTAATTTTTTTTCTTCTTCTTCTTCTTTCGGCTACCCTCTCGTAAAAATATGCGGAAAGAAATGGCACTCGACGCGTCGACGTCCTTCCGAAGTTAATAATAATACCCTAATTGCTCGTCGAGTGATCGTCAAACACCAGCGTCTTTACACCAGCCGAGTTCTTTTCTCTAAGCAGGCACCATTAGTGGAACTTCAGTTTTAAGATAATATCGTTGGAAAATTATCTTCCTGTCTAAATTGTATAATTTTCATCGTTATACATCGAATTACGTGACGTATTATATTTTTATCATAATATCTTGTATTTCGATTTATTCACATCTATCAATTTTTTCTTTCTTTTTTTGCGTAGTAATTTATTCTCAAACGTTTTGTTAATAGATTAACTGAAATGAAATTAAAAGAATGTTTTGAATTCGGAATCAAAAAAATACATATAGTTGAATCGATTGCAACGAGACCACCACCACCACCACCACCACCACTACCACCACCACCACCAGCAGCAGCAGCAGCGTCGGTGGTCGTCGTCGGGCTCGTTCGAAATAACACGCCGAGGATAAAGTTAAAGTTGATTTAAATTCGTCGGAGTATTCCGGAAAAATAGAGTGAAAAGGAGAAGAGAGAAGAGAAGTTCGAGAGGGAGTATGATGGTGGAGGGAAGAGGGGGGAGAGGAAATCGATAGACATTCTTCTTATAATGGAATTGTACAACGTTAAAACAAGTAAATACGAATGCAACTAATACTTTGAAAAAAAGTTTATTATTATTTGTCCGTATTCGTAAAAGTTGACTTTTAATTGCTCTTTGCGATGTGATAAAAAAGAAAGCAAGCGGAGAATTTATTAATGTCGAACGCTTTGTGCTGTCTTTGAAATGTTCTCTCTCTCTCTCTCTCTCTCTCTCTCTCTCTCTCTTTTCTCTCTCTCTCTCTCTCTCTCTCTCTCTCTCTCTGTTTCTTTCGTTCATCTTGTATTTCGTTCTGTTTTCGTTCGATATCTCGTCAATAGTATTGTACTCGAACGAATATATTACTCTTGGCACATATTTCCCTCTTCTTTGAACATATTTTGTTTTTTTTTCTTTATTGAAATTATCCTCTTTCTTTTTTTCTTTTTTTTTAAATTTTCTATCCTCGTCCCTGTGATCCGCAGATACAACGCATTAAGATATTAGTCTAATACCATAATTATCCGAGTTTAATCCAGAATCGTTCTTATCTCATCGAACGGATGAGCGAATATAAAAATGGTGGTGAATAAGAGGGTAGAGAGGGGGACGGGGAAGGGGTAAGGGGCAAGGGGGATTTTCACTCTGCGAAGCGCTTGATTTCTCGAATCGAAGCAATTACATGACAAAGCATTTAATTGATAACCAATTTGGACGGGTTCCTTTCTCTCTATCCTCGGATCAACTTTTCCGCTGAATCCACTGTATCGATTCCTTTTTTGCTTTAAACCGACACATCCCCCATTTGCACCCATCGACACCCATCGACACCCACATCGATGCTTCTCCAATTGATCCAGCTGGAACAGATTAAGTCCAGGCAACCGAAGAAACGAATTAACGCTTAACGAACTACGCGGGATACTAATTATGAACCGAAAACAACCAAAGAAATATAATATATGCATATCGTACATACACGTGTGTATATAAATGACTAAACAAATATTAAATTAACAATTATTAAACAAATAGATCTCGTGATCTAACAACATTTATGAAGGTTTTATTATTTTTTTCTTGTTTCTTTTATCTAAATATTATTCGCTAAATATTAATCAATTAATATTATATCTATTTGTATATGCGTGCTTACGTAGGTATGCGAGATTTAATATTTGCCAAAGAACGATTGCAGAAATTGTTTATTTGTGCGTGCGCCGGTGGATGTGTGTACGTGTGTGTGTGTTGTCTTTCTATTGATTATTAATTTAGTTTTGTGTTAATTGCAGAATGGACATACTCCTGAGGGACATGAACGTTACGTGGCGATGACAAGCCTGATCTTGGAGAACGCGGACTTAAACCGACTTTTTCCAAAATGCCGGCCTAGGGGCGGCCCACCCCCGCCCCCGGGGGGCTCCACGCAGACCAGCCAGCCGCATGACAACCCTTGCCAAACGGAGCTCGCCTCTGTTACCACCATCACCACGTCCTCCACCGTCACGATTGCCTCTGCTAACGACACCACCATCACCACCCCTTCTTCGAATCTTCTTTCCGCCATATCGGACGACATGATCGACCTTGAGCGCGACACCTCCGACAGGCAAGTTATATCCAAATTGGGAGGAAGAGAAAGAAAACGACAAAAATAGAAGGGCTGAAAAAAAGGAAAGAAAATACAACTCGGGTTGGAAGAGCCAAAAGTACCCCTAGGCGGGTTCAAAAATGCTACGCGATTTCAAAAATTCATTACTCCTTTTATGTTTTTTTGCTTTTTTGCTTTTTTGTTTTTTTGCTTTTTTGAGACTTTTCGAGCTCGCAATTAGACTTGCAGTTTTACAAATTGGAAAACATAAAAAGAAAGAAGTTATTGGTCTTTTTAAAAAGTCTCGAAAAAAGTTATATTTAATTGATTTTCTTTTTTCTTCTTTTTAAAATCAACCTAAAAACTTTTGGCTCTTCCTCTATATATATTTCACCTTATCGGAAACTGCCCTGCGCGAAATTGAATTCGTATCTCTCTCTCTCTCTCTCTCTCTCTCTCTCTCTCTCCCTTGTTCGTAATTCTCTCTTTAATTCTACCCTTATTATTTTCTTTTGCTACGTTCATTCGTCTTTTTTCTACTTCTCCATCCCTCGTTGGTCTCCTCTTCTTCCTTCTCAAATCGTATCCATCCTTTCTTCCTTTTATCTTTCCATTATTCTCTTTTCGTCGTTTTCTCTCGTTTACCCTCCGGCAAAAAACTCTACGTTATTTTTCTCCCTCCTCTTCGAGAAAATGACGGACCTTTTTCTTTTTTCTCTCTTCGTTTTAATACCATTTAGTACGTTTACTTATTTTGATACATACATTTACGTATATGCATAGAGATATACATAACATATTTACGCGCGTGCAGGCCCGTTTCTATATTTTGCGGGACCTTTTGATCTTTTTTTTTTGTTTCTTTTTTCCTATTTTTTTGCGTTTTACGAAACCCGCAAATACGCAGGGCCCTGTATCCCATATTTCGGATTTACGGCCTTGCTCTCGTGAAAATTTCTCTTCGTAATTTATTTGATACAAATTTTAACGAAAGTAAATACTTTCGAGATATATATATATAAAGAAATGAGGAATACAAAACGATGATTAAAGTGTGGAAAAAGAAATTACGCGCGGTAAAGTTAGAAAATTGACGAATAATTACGGTCAGGCGAATAACTTGAAAAGCCCGATTACCATAACCGAGATTATGCAAAATATGTTTGTAGGAGGTGGGCGATAAGCCGACGCCGTTTGTTTTCGCTCGAGGATTTTTGGATTACAATGGAAAACGGGACACGCGCTTTCGTGGAAACGCGTTCTTTCTTTCTTTCTCCGTTATTCCGCTTACTCGTTCTCAAAAGATCTTTGATACGAATTTCGCGCGTTCGTCCGAGCGAACAAAATGTCGGTTCTCTCTGTGCGGTTTCTTTCATTTCTTTCTCATATTCATATGCATGCATATATGTCTCTCTCTTTCTCTCTTTCTCTTTCTCTTTCTTCTTATATTCCCACAAAATCTCGAAACATTTGGTATTCAAAAAGGGATTCTTCAAATTCCAAAGACGCGTACGTTATATTAAATAATTCTTTTCGTGAAACAACGTTTCCACATTTTTCTACGATCAATGATACGATATAGTCTACGATAATATAAATTTCAAAAATGTTTTTACGATATTTCGAACTTCGCATATAGCAAAACAAAATTCTAAAAAATCAAATCTAGAAAAAAATGTAGAAACAGGTCGGATTGCGAGTACAAGTAATATTACTTATTGTTTCAAAAAAATCAGATCGGAAAGATTACGTATCGAACACTTCAATATTAGAAATTACACGCGCTTTTTGATAAGGGAGGGGGATGTACGCGGAGGGAAGGGAAGGGAATCCCTTCCTCGAGGAATACGAATTCCACATATAGTCTATGGAATCCATCGCGTTATATTTCGCTTTCTCCAATCTTCGATAACAAGTTTTCATCAATCCTCCTCGTTCCAGGTCCCTGATGAACGTGAGTGAACTTTTAGCACGACCACCTTTAGTCACTTCGCGAGAGAAATAATCAATGTCTTTTCCTCTCTCTCTCTCTCTCTCTCTCTCTCTCTCTCTCTCTCTCTCTTTCTCTAACTTACTCTACCTTTCGGTCAGGAGGGTATTCCAACACCGTTTTAGTAATATGCTTATTTTTTTTTTTTCATTCCTTTCATTATTTCTTCCTTTTTTTTTCGTATTCTTCTTTCGCAATTTTACGGATTTCCCATTTGGAATCGACATGATCGCAAATGTGATTAAACCATTTCTGGGTCATCTAATGTATTAAGATTTTTTCTCTTAACCCTTTCGCTACGGCGGTGTGCTCCGTCGGAGTGACGCCGCTGTACGGACCACCGTGCCGCCGGAGTAGCGGCACTGAATGGAGCACTGCGCCGAAAAATGTGAAATCGCGGGTCTCCGCTCAACTGAAGAAAAACTGAGCTAATTGTGTTTCTTGGCCAAAAACTTGATATAATGGTAACTCGACGACGCTGAATCGAATGGTGCTAATTTTTTGCCATTTAATCAGGAGATCTTTGAGAAAAAGGGTAAAAAAGGGTAAAAAAGCCATATCTTAGAATCTAGGCATTTAATCGAAAAAAGTTTCAAACAAAAGTTGTAGAGAATTGAAAAATACATAAAAAATGTTTTAAGGTGTATCTTCGTATTCGCAAAAATGAAAAATTCTCGCTGCGGAAGAAAAAAATTAGAAAGAGAGAAATATCGGTTTCTTGTCTCATTCGCACTCGCATTCACAACCGAGAGACCCCAAGATAACGCACAATAGCTCGCTTGCGTGTAAAGACCAAAGAAGAGGCGGGGCTTGTCTCCTACTCTTAAAATCAATTTTACCAATATTTCTCGCTTATTTTTGCAAATACGAAGATACACCTTAAAACATTTTTTATGTATTTTTCAATTCTCTACAACTTTTGTTTGAAACTTTTTTCGATTAAATGCCTAGATTCTAAGATATGGCTTTTTTACCCTTTTTTACCGTTTTTCTCAAAGATCTCCTGATCCAATGGCAAAAAAATTAGCACCATTCGATTCAGCGTCGTCGAGTTACCGTTATATCAAGTTTTTGGCCAAGAAACACAATTAGCTCAGTTTGTCTTTAGTTGAGCAGACTATCAGGCAGATGACGACGTCTATAGGCGACGCTCATAGCGAAAGGGTTAAGGGTTGATATTTAAATCTCTCCGATAATATGTATTACATTTTAATTTGCTATAATGAATTTACATAGATAAACAGGTATTCTTAAAAATCACCTAGAAGAATTTCTTGGCTTATCCTCTACGTGCTTTCCTCTCGTCTATGTTTCTTATACTCGTCTGTTAAAATAACTGATATCGGATAAATAAACGAGATTAGAGAACGTTTAACAGGCAAGATAATGTTTGTGAAGATTTACCGATTATCTCGTAGGTTCTTTTCTTCTGAAGATTAGTTAGATCACAGTTATCTTTACTTCTGAATTGGAAATCTTAAGAAAGAACAAAGATTCGAAGAAAAGGATGATAAATATTTCGAAAAATAATTGAGGTGGAAAGAAGAGAGAAGAGGAAGGGTAAGAAAAAGAAAAAGAAGAAGAACAACAAATTGATTTGAAAATCGATATATAAAAAAAAAAGATGTAATGGTTTTCTATCCACATTACAAACGCCGGACTTGTTATTCTCACGAACGTTCGATTACCGTGGCACGTGTAACGATAGCCCATTATCGAGCAAGTAATTGGCAGTGGTGTTATTGCTCGTTAAAAGTACTTCCTTTCGTTTCTGATTGAAAAGCTGTTAAGTGTAGCAATTAAAAAAAGAAATAGAAGATGGAGGGAAAAGAATATAGCCGAGATAGTCCATAAACTCTGAAGAGAATAATGAATTCAAATAATCTTTTTTATGGTAATAATCATCATCCTAATAATTCTCGTGGTGTCGTGACAATGATGGTAAAAGATAACTCGTTGGTTAATGCTAACTCGATAAGGAAAAAGAAATAAAAAAGAAAAATTGTATAAATCAGGCTAATCATTTGATCGTTGTTTGATTGACGATTGTTAAGAGTTCGAAGTTACGTTCGTAGGTATAGGAAACGAGCGAATGGCAGAAAAAAATCAGCTTCGCTGTCCCGTAGGACGGCGAGCGTGGTGGCCGGTTATGGTGCCGAGGGCCAACTGCCGATCGGTACATCTACGAAGAAGCCATTATCCTCGAGTTCGTCCTCGGCATCAGGACGATCCGAGGATGCACCTCAATATGGCAGCCTGGCGGGTAGCGATCATCAGACGCAATCCCAGCAAGAGGACAGCGGACCCGAGGAGAGTCCCGTTTATATTTTGACCTCCGCCAAGGGAGATCGTAGCTACAAATTACGTGACTCCAGGTAACGTTTTATCTAATTTTATTATTTATACGGAATGAGATTATATCAAATAATTCTCTAAACGTGCTATTTATTTTAAATACTCGGGACAAAGCAACCCTGATGCAATCCTGCTGCCTTTGCTGAAATTTCTTCAACATTCTCTACTTGATCTTAAAAACAAAAATATACAACAAATGATTCTTTGGACGATGTTTGTTCGTGGAAAAAGAAACAAAATTGGAAGGGAAAGATTGAAAAGTAACATTTCGAATAGACGATATAGCGCGTATTTCAAAATCGTTTGAATAATCAGGAACGTCTATGACGTCACGCTTTTAGTACAGTCCAAGTAGTCATTTTGCTATTCTCTCTGTTTAAAGTATAATCACCGATTGCGGTTTACCGCGGCACACTTGTGATCCCGTTATTATCGACGGCTCGTGAATTTAAAGTGGATGCAATCGGTCATACGCAACGTGTTGTATGGATAACAACAGCTTAGTTAATTTGATAATTATGCGAGACACGAGTCGATAAGATAGAAAAAGAAATGTTTTAGTTGTTGGCCCACTTATAATATGTTTTTAAAATGGAAAAAAGAAAAAAAAAGTAGTAACGTGGCGTAGTTTCTAAGTCACAAGCGTTACTGTGTGTGTGTCCGTGTGTTGGTGATGCGTTATAAGTGCTTATCACAAATTTGCAGTGGTTTTCTTTGTAATTAGCAAAGGCCTGTCTACCACAGTGCGTAGCTTAAACAGATTTTTCAAAGCATCACTTTTAATTTACACTCGACGCTCCTTACTCTCCTTCTCTCTCTCTCTCTCTTTGTTGGTTTACCCAGGTAGGATTTTATTCTTTTTCTTTAAATCGTTCAACAATTTATTCCACGTTTGCAATTCGAACTATTTTCCAATCTCAAACGCACAATTTTTTTCCTCTCGCGATTTTAATTATAAACAAAATAATATACTGAATTATTAAACGCGCGTCGTTCGTATCTCCCGAACAAAATCTTCTTCGATGGTTGAAATATTCAAAATACTTTAGATTTTATTTTATATTTTATATAAAAGTGACAGATTCAAACGGAAATATCGCTGAAATATTATCGATCTTCTATCGTTACTGTTCGATAATGCTTTTAATCGATCGCACGTAACACATGTAATCAAACGTTTGATCTATTTAAGAAAAAGCAACGTATTATCAACTGTGTATACATACCTGTATAAATATTTCTATTTTCTCTTTCGAAAATTAAAACACAATTTATATAAATAATTATTAATACCTTTTTTTTTATCGATGTACGATTTTTTTTAGCGCGATAACAAAGCGTCGATTAAATAGTTTTCTCCTATGTTCGAGATCGACGAGAGCGCCGCCAAACGAACGTTACACGAATCATTTTGATTAAACATCAAAAAGATATTTTTGTTTTTCTAATGACAAAAAATGAACTCTCCGTAATTCTCACGTCGGTGATTGATTGTCATGGAATATATTTTCGATCTTTCTTATTATTTTTCTTATTTACTAACAATTGATTGGATCTATATCGATGATAATACCGAAAATTTCTTACGATTTCGTACAGAAAATGCATAAACACTCAACGTTGATGAGCACACATGTTTAGAGAGGGAAATATGTTCTATCAAACAGGGAACGTAAAGCACTTGCATTTAATATGACGTTTAGCGGTTAGTTCATTCTGTCATTTGAATCATCGATTATTGTTTATAGAAATGACATTAACTGTGTCTTCTTATGACAACGCATACAAATTATTGTGTATGATATAAAGTAGTACAAAATTGTATTTGTAACATATTGAAATTCAATTATAAATTATACGATAATATATAGAACAATATTTACAATCAAAGTATTATTTACAAATCATATTTAATAAGATTTTAATTAATTATATTATCCTTTATATTTTTGTGTTCAGAATTATAGAAATAGCTGGTGGTCGAGAAGTATTTTCGCAAAGCCGTGGAAAAGTTGCAGCAAGGAAATCACGCTTTCATGCTGCATCCAATTCATTAAATAACGAAGATACTCAAGCAGATAACAAGTTATCTATTAAGAAAAACAATAAGTCCCCAAGCACACAAACTATTTGGGAATTACGAAGCCGGTAACTATTACTTCTTTTTTGGCATTCTATGTTAAGTCCATAAGTAAATGTTGTTTGACCCTTTTTATTACATATAATGTTTTTACAGATGTGGTGAAACAAGGAAACAACGTACGAACCGAGAGGTTACAGAGACTGTATTCTCATCTGAGGTGCATTCAGTACGACGTAATCCTACCAAGTCTATCCTTGATTACGATTCTCCTAAAAGCAATCGTAGCAATTGTATTATTAATTATGATTCAATTTTAAATAGCAATAATGTAGAATACAGTGTACCTAAAAGTATTACTGATCTGGATTATGGGTTGTCGAAAAACTGTGTAGATTATCAATCTAATCACACTACACCCGCAAGAAGTATGGCTATTGTTAGTGACGGTGAAGTGGTGGTGTTTGACGATATAGATGATAACTGGCAAGGTTTGCGTTTGGATTTAGCATCAAATAATACAACTCAAGTTACAACAACTAATTTAGATTTGGAAACGGAAGATCCACCGAGAGGTCGTATTCCTCCCGAACCGCCGAGTTCTAGCGTTGGTAGCACTCCAAGTCCTACAACAGCATATCACCATAATACATCTGAATTCTTCAAGGTATCTCATTCAATATTATTTAACTTATTGTTATATGTAAACTACAACAATTATTTCTTCCTAGGTTGTAACAACGGCAAGCGATTGCGAGATAGATTCACCTTCTCCAGAGCGTAACCATAAAGTGGCAAGAGTGATAGGAGAACTACCAATTGCGCAGTATTCAGGAAGTCCAAGACGTTATGGCGTTCGTGAAAATCCACAACTTCCCAGTTTGTTGTCATCACCTTCTGTATACATGACACCGAGACCTGGTTTTCCACAAAGAGTGTTGCCAACAACACCCAATCACAAAGAGGTATATTAATAAATACAATTTTTCTTTATCTGTCTCCATATATAACATTAATATCTTATATCATTTTTGTTATTAAAGAAGGAGGATGCCTCTACTGAAATTATCGTAGAAAAGCCTGTGATAGAAACAGCCATAGCTCACACGGAAGATCAATCGTTAAACGTTTCACCGTCGTCTCCTAAAATCGAGGATGAAGAAGAAGATTCATTAAAACCACCAGTTTTACCTGCTGACAATATAAGTAGTCTTGTATCACCAGGCGGCAGTACTTTTGATTACTTGTATGAATTTTCTGAAACTCGAAAAGTATTAGAAGAATTTTTCAAATGCCCACCTCCATCCAAAGAGAAAGAGAATAGCATTGAATCGTTTCCGTTCCAAGTGAGTATTTCATCTACTTCATAATATATATATTGAGAATCATTACATACAAATATTTTATACCTATGATATATATCACACACAGTCAGAATATTAATTGAAATAATTTTTAATAATTTTACCAGGACTTGGATTATGAACTACGAAGACAAGGAGGAAGTTCATATGTTGGTCAACGTTTGGCTAGTGGTCCACCCCCTACGGAGGAAGTTATGGTACACGAATCACCAAAAAAGCAAAGATCTGATTTTCCTCAAAATGTAAATACTATATTTATTTAGAAGAAAATTTATTTTACATCATTTCCCAACATTACACGAATATAAATATAAATTTTTATTTTCACTGATTTACTTTTTAGTAATTAAATTCACGTAGTTAATGACATATAAGTCATGATATTCTTTAAAAAATAAGTGATGTTATATATTTAATTTGTAAATTAGTCTGATTAACAAGCTGAAAGTGAGAAGGTATTTTTAGTCACCCTATTTCTGTGTACACCTTCTATTTATATAATAGGATATATATATCGTTAATTTCAATTGTAAAGTACAATAGTTACATCAGTACTTATATGTTCTAATGTATACTAGTTTATTGATTAATTGTATATTCTTTTTTTCCAGACTGGCGAGCACGAAAACAATTTTTTGGATCTCTCAGTAGGCACTGGAAGCAGTGAAGATCTTGGAGAGACAGAAGTTGGTTTACAGGTTGGCCACTCGCGTAATTTCACATTAAGTCCTGAAACAACTGACTGCGACAGCAATTGTGGAGATTTAGATAGCGAAGTTTCATTAATGATGATGGATAATGAATTAATGCCGGCCAGTGGTTTGCTTGGTTCAGTTGGAGATTTAGGAAATAACTCGGATTCTCTTAGAATCTATACGAGTATGCCTGTATTAGAAGATGGTTTATCTAGTGGACATGCAAGTGACACTGATAATAATAATCCAACGGTGATGCTTATGAAACGGCAAATAAATGAAATAGAAAAGGAAATTATTCAAAGGACGCGTAATGACATGTTAGGAACTGAAAATGAGCCAGTCAAAGATGTGAGTTTAAATGTCACAAAGGAACTCTTGCATACATTACAAACATCATCGCCTGATTTATTTATTGCGAAGAAGGAAAACTCGTATGAAACCAATGAGTTACAACTCGATGGATTAGATCCTTTGGGTACACCACCACCACCTGCGCCACAAGGTAGACAAAGTGTCAATTTGGAAATAGGTGGTGAAGTAGAAGCAGCCATTAAAGATATTAGAATGGCATTGCAAAGAACTAAAACACTTCCTGTTAAATCTCCTTCGGAAGAACCACCCGAACCAAGCGTTAGTCCTATTTGGATACCAAGGTATTTCTATCATTATTTGAACAAGGGTATTCCAAAATCATGATTGTAAATGTTATTTATTTTATGAATACATGTATGCATTGCTGTTATATCTTTTTGGAATACCCATTACATTATCTTCATTTATCGTGCGAGTTCATCTAACTAAAATGTAGTATATTGGATTCCAGGCGGAGAATATGCATGGAAAGTAATAGCGAAGATTCGGAAGCACGACGAGGAGGCGACGAAGCGGATGTAGAGATCGAAGAAGGTCCAGATGAAGAAGAAGCAGACACTGATCTTGAGACTGATCGATTATTAGGACAGCAAAGAACTGACGATCAAGGATTTTATGATGATAAAGTAAGGAATAAGATTTTTTCATTATTTTCTATATTCGTGTATCAAGTATCAATAATAACACAATATATTCGTGATAAAAAATTTGCTCTCCGATATATTTATATATATGTTTACTTTGAATGCATAATCAATCCATATAACATAAACACATGTTGATTAATTGATTAAAATTTGGTGACTTATTGGTATAATGTATAAAATTTGGTATATATATATACATATATATTTAATTATTTCCTTAATTGCGATTTGAAAAAAGGTATTGGTGTCCTATTAATGTTGTCTTGGTATTATGCAGGGGTGGCGGAAGCCTAAGACTAGGACAATGTTACCACCAATGAGTGCAAAAATCGCAACTCCTAAGCAAACCCCTCCTAAAACCTTGAGTGTAACTCCTATAGAAACGCTAGCATCGTCCGAACCTTTGCCATCTACGTCTACTTCCATTTCTCCACCTCCTGTAGTATCTGTTATTCAATCACCACCTTCTGAACGTGAAGTAACCACCCCTACGCAACCTGCAACAAGTCCACAGAAGACCCCAGTCAAAAACTCTCCCTCGTCCCCTCAGAGTCTGAAGGAATCTAGCAACAAGGTGAAAAAGGTGCCCTTTCAATGCTCTTTCTTTCTCTCTCTCTCTCTCTCTCTCTCTCTCTCTCTCTCTCTCTCTCTTTCACTTGGGTCTCTTTTTAGAATGTAGCATATGGTACTTTAATGGACAATGATAAGATAGCACTTGTTGATGCACGATATTTCTGTCATAACGTTACAGAACTAGATCTCTTCTGATATATATATATATATATTCATCTTTCTACAATTCTTCAATTGTTGTTGTATAATCAAACTTACAATCTCATCAGCTTAAATAGAATTAAGATTTGAATATATACAGACATTATTAAAGTGGAATAATTTTCTACTTGTTCAAAAACAGTACACATGTAATGATGATGATGATGATGATTTGTCTATTTGAAATATTTAAGCTGAGAGATGGATGCATCTGTGCCTGAGGATTAAAACTTTTCTTTTAATCTCAATGCAAACCAAATTTCTCTATAATTTATATTTCCTTATTGCCTTTTTACCTATAATATGCTTATTTCTTTTTTCTTTCATTATTATTATCAGTACAAGTCTTATCTATTGAAAAGGAATGAGATGTATAGATCATATTTTTAATTAGGAGCTTGCTTGTGTGTTGTGATTGTAAATATAATCATAATTAATTACCAGGAGATAATATCATTCACGTGCATACATTTATTTTAACTAGAAAGCTTTATCGTATTGTATATGCAATAATTAACAGATTATTTTACGAGTCTTTTACGATGACGATCAATCGTTTTTTTTTCTCTTTTTGCTTGTTAGAAAAATACTTTGATAATTTACAACAACAAAAAACATTATTTTCTCGTAATATTTATAATATTTTAATTACACAACGTTACGGTAATTTTTGTATTAATTGCAAACAATGCATGATCGGTATTTTTATATACGATAAAAGCTTTAAATAATTAATATTATGTCAGCATTATAGTCAAATCTAGATATCAACATGTTTAATAATATTCTTTGAACGTATATTACGTGCATTGCATACTTTATATTTTACAGGATAAAGAAGGAAAGAAGAAAAGTCGAAATAAAGAAGGTAATATTATATATTCGTATAATTTTGTTCATTTATATGAAAATCTAACCATTTAAATTATTTGACTAACAAAATATGTTAATGATATGTTTTCCTTTTTTTAATTGCTGCTTATTCGAATGCATATAATTGAACTTGCATCGATTCGTCATGGCACATATGGTATGTGTTTTATCAACGTACATTCATTATTAAATAATCTTTTTATTTTCAATATAATCTGTGTACTTTCTGTTATTTTGACGAGCAAAACAAGTTTATTAAAGAAGATAAATGTCAACCGAATTATCAATATTGAATTTGAAGAATGCACGAGATGTCTTTAATTACCAGTAGTCATATATTTTGGATAATCAGAAACACATTTTCAAACTTCTTGATAAGATATTTCATCAATTCTGTTGATAAGCGGATTAAACTCAATGAAATATTTCTTTCGTACATATACTACTGAATAATATAGTTGCATAAATATCACTTGTAAGGGAAAATGTATAGATTGTGATTTAAAATATTTAATACATATCTTCATTGCTTTGATGTGTAACACAATACTAACATTACACAAAATGACTTTAAACCCAGCCGATCAAATAGGGATTTTATCAGATAACAAATTGTTAATATCATTTAGTCTAATCCATTGGTCTAACGAATACTTAGCAGCATTTGGTAGATTGTGTAGTGCAAAACCTAATGGTAATTCTAAGTGGTGTGTTTCTGTGGAAATTTCAGCATTATTGGACGATCCTTCAGTGTTAATCGAAGGCGTACTCTTCAGAGCAAGATACTTAGGATCTACTCAATTAGTATGCGAGGGTCAACCAACTAAATCTACTAGAATGTGTCAAGCAGAGGAAGCTGTTTCTCGAATAAAGGTATGTGTGCATCGATATATGCATAAATGAACATTATATGCATTTAAGAAATCTTTAATTTTAAATAATTATATCGTTTGATTACATTTATATTCCCAATGCAAAGTATTATATTAGAGAGATAAAATTATTTAATAATAGATTAATTAATTTTATTCAATTATTCGTTCTATATTTTAAAGGACCATTTTTAATTCTTTATATAGTAAAATTTGGATGTAGTCAAATAAGATAATAATAATAATAATATTATAGGATTTAAACGTGTAAAGTGTATTGGAAATATAAGAATAAGTATAATAGTATAATTATTGTTCTAGACACAAGTATAAAACAGATTCTATACATATATTAGGATTGCCATTAGTGTTACACAATGAATTATGATGATCTCAAATTATAGCAGCATGCTTTGAATGCTTTATAAGATTTAATTTGCAACTTAATTTATCATCAATCAAAATGCAATATTTTTAACTGTAACAATGTATACCTTAGTGTTAATATTTTTAACTTTTTGAGGGTTTTTCAGAGAAATGGTCTTTTAATACAGTTAAGCCAGGCTTTCCCTACTGTTATACTTGTAATAAGCTTACCGTGTAAGAAAAACAATTCTTCATATTAAATTGCTCTTAATAATATTTTGCTTTTACTTTTAAGTATGCCAAATAGATAATATACATTCAACTATTTACCTCAAATGGTTAAAATACTGAGTCTTAAGGTAGTTAAACCTGAGAGTTTTTTACAGGAAAGAATACTGTGAAAAAATAAGTGTGACTCGGTGTTGCATTATGTGCACTGCCATAGTTTAAAATATATATATATATATGCCAAAATATTTTGATATATAGAATTTATTCACTTATATCCATTCTATCTCTATACTCTTTTCCATTCATATATAAATATAAAGTATCTTACAGTAAAATCTTTCCTTCCACTCTTAGGTTCTTTAAAAATTAAAAGTCAATGTTTGGACAGTTGACTTTAAGATACTTATGAAAATTTTACAATAAATTAAAATTATTAATCAGTTGAATGATGAAAAAGATTAAATTAAATAATTCATTAGTTTATAAAAGCAAAAAATAAAGTAGCTTTATTAATGATATAAAATAAATATTTGGCAATTAATTACGTCCAGATGTTGGCTATTATATACATATATATGTATACTTTATACGTATACAATATCTATTTTATATGAATAATCTTCATAATTGTGAACTGGCCGGTGTGCAAAGAGGCCTGAATGTTTCAGTGTAGCGCCCCCTTCCTCACATCACCAACACCACCACCTGACCACCGAACACTGTCATCTTCTCAGTGTAACTTGATGTGTCTGTTTGTCGGTCTCTCTCTCTCTCTCTCTCTCTCTCTCTCTCTCTCTCTCTTTCTCTCTCTTTCTCTTTCTCTTTCTCTTTCTCTTTCTCTTTCTCTTTCTCTTTCTCTCTGCGGATATTTTTCTATATTTGCTTGCTATATCTATCTATCTTCGTTTTTCTTTATGTTATGCGTATATAATAAAAGTATGCTTTATGCACTAAATATCTTTCTTCGCAAAACTTTTGCCTATATGATGCGTACTTTATTACTTTGTATTTTTCATGCTACAGCAGTGATTAAAGCAGGTGATTACTGCTTATTTTTTAAGAGGAAAAAAGGAACCATATAATATCCAAAGTATTATTGTATTAAGCAAAAAGTAACTGTTCATTTATTTTTAGTCTGTACGATTTGATAGAACGTAGTAGATTTTTATTTTTTGTTTGTTAGAATTCAAGTAGCTCACTCTTGCATTTTTCTTATTCGTTGAGTATTTAGATTGCTCCATTTATGTTAAAATAATTAAATTGTGATGTTCTTCGCTTCTCATTAGTGTATATGATCAGTAGCCACTGGGTAGCCTGCATTCCTGAATAAACTTACTTTCATATACGGTGGATCTATCATTGTTGTCACTTGGAATATCTTTTTTATATTTTTGAAATACCCCTTTATTAAAACTTGCTTGAGGAAGATATAGAATACTTTGGCAAACAAAAAACAATACCAAGACCATATGCATCGATATTTATTTAAAATGATTTTAAATGTAACAAGCAAGAGATATCTCAAGTGTTAAGAACTATCAACTATTCTGTATGTGTTCATATTCTTATAAAATTACATGAAGAAATCTTGATCTCTAATTTCTGGATTTGTTTCTGTATTAATGGAAGAATTCATGAATTGATATCATTCCTGCTCGTAATCCAAACCCATTTTTAGACCAATTTATTAATGAGCAAATTACATCATAATATGTTTTTAATGCTAAAACTAGATTTCATTATACATAATGAATATCATATCCTTGATTGCTTTTTTTCTTTAATTATTCATCATAAAACTTAACGATAATTCTTTATGTCGACTAATTATAGAAACCACATTGCTTATTGACATTACCAAACCCTGATACTTGGAACTCTGGGTTGCTAATCGTTAATCATTCATGAAAATCTTAGCACAAAATATCGTCTAAATTTTGCACCATTATATATATATATATTTTTTTAATTATTTATGTCAGCATCAAGCATTCATATTTGTGTGTGTACCAATAGTTAATAATATATAAATATGTTTGATAATTATTACAAAACAATTTAAAGTACGCATGCTTATATATATATACGTATACATAAAAATCCTTTTAATTTAAATGTGTTAAATATATTTCAAATCTTGCACACACATACAGAGTACATACATATATATACATAGAAATAATAATTATAATAAATAGAGATCTAAAGAGCAACTCAGATTCCAATAACTTTGGCTCTTTTGCCTTGTTTTGTTGGTGGTGCGTGGCAATGTGACTAGCAGAGCCTCTGTTTGTTTGTTTGTTTGGCGTGCGCGTAACGGAAGGATGGGCCAGTGCCAATGCAGGCTACGCTCTTAAACTATGGGGGGCAGCATGGTTACGGGCGCTGCAGCATAACTTCGCAAGGAAGCCTAGAGGAAGACGAATGTGACTCAAGCGAAGAACTTATAGGGAGTGCTTCTGGTGGGGGCCAGTCCGAGACACACACAATAGCCGCCCAACCGAAACTGGCCCCGATCAGTGGCTCCTTGGGGCCCACAACCGTTTTCAGACTACAATTTCTTGGGTCGGTGGAGGTGGAAGAGGAAGGGGGACGTAAACGGCGTAAGCGCCTTAAGAATCACATGGTGGAAGAGGCTGTGACTAAAATAAAGGTCCGCCTTACCCAAATGTACCTCTGTTTGTATTAATTATCTTTTGGAAAGATGTTTCTTAGTTTGCTCTTTCCAATCAAATATCGATCAATGTGAGAAATATATTTCCTTTATATATTCTCTTCAATTCTTACCAACCAATAAATGGAGCGTTACATTGAATTTTAACATACTCTTATGTCAAAGTACACATTTAAACTCTCAGGTTTATGGGATCTTCACAAATAATACATTATACAATTTCAACCATATGCATCATTCGCTTTAAATCAGTGCCTGATAATAACGTGCATTGGAATGTATAATCTTTTTCATTTGATAGTCCTTTTATCAAAATGTTAATAATCAATTATTCTTTTTCCTTTTTTATTTACTTTGTTTAACATGCTGCTTCTTGCGATAGGCACTGGTACGTACATTTTATAAGAAATATCGCATATGTTTGTATAAGATAATCGTGTATTACATAAAAATATATTTGATTTTATTTAGGCACCGGATGGTGAAACTCAACCCAGTACCGAAGTCGACCTATTTATTTCAACAGAGAAAATTATGGTTCTTAACACTGACTTGAAAGAAATTATGATGGATCATGCTTTACGAACGATATCGTACATAGCAGATATCGGCGACTTGGTTGTTCTCATGGCTCGAAGACGATTCGTACCTCATGAGATGGAAGAAGCTCCTAAGATAAACAGGACTCCCAAAATGATCTGTCACGTTTTTGAAAGCGAAGAAGCTCAGTTTATTGCACAAAGTATTGGACAAGCATTTCAAGTAGCTTACATGGAGTTCCTAAAAGCAAATGGAATAGAAGATCATAGTTTTGTTAAAGAGATGGATTATCAAGAAGTACTTAATTCACAGGAGATATTTGGCGACGAGTTGCAAATGTTTGCAAAAAAGGAAATGCAGAAAGAGGTAATTGTCGATGATATTCTTTCACGTTTACGTACGTTCCTATACTTGTTTAAAAAAAAAGGAAAAGATTGTTATCTCATGTTTAAGAAAATATAATTAATTTGCAGGTAGTGGTACCAAAAGCGAAAGGTGAAATTCTTGGTGTAGTAATAGTTGAATCTGGATGGGGCTCTATGCTGCCAACTGTAGTTATAGCTAATCTGGCACCAGCTGGTGCTGCAGCTCGTTGCGGGCAATTAAATATTGGTGATCAAATAATAGCAATCAATGGCGTGTCGTTAGTTGGCTTACCTCTATCAACATGTCAGACGTACATAAAGAACTCAAAAAATCAAACGGTCGTAAAGTTAACTGTCGTACCATGTGCACCCGTTGTTGAAGTGAAAATCAAGAGACCCGATACGAAGTATCAGTTAGGATTTAGTGTACAGAATGGGGTAATATGCAGTTTGTTAAGAGGTGGTATTGCAGAAAGAGGGGGAGTAAGAGTGGGTCATAGAATAATCGAAATTAATAATCAGAGTGTTGTTGCTGTACCACATGAAAAGATTGTTAATCTTCTTGCCACTTCTGTTGGTGAAGTAAGTATAAACTGAGCGATTATGCGATATAATTATATGCCTGAGAATCCACAGTCAAAGTTATTTATTGTTGTACAGATCCTGATGAAGACAATGCCCACTTCGATGTTTAGGCTATTAACTGGTCAGGAGTCTCCGGTGTACATATAAACGTTCAGTTGCCTGGCTGATGCGTAGTGAACAGACAATACATCTGCCATCCACTACCACACTATTTACCACTTTACTGTACAGATTATTTCACGCAAATTGCTTTGTGTTTCAATTCCAATGGAGCAGTTCATACGTCATCAGCGCTCCTGCTTAGTAAACCAAGACTACCTAGGTACGTTACTGAAAACGTTACTAAATATTTACTCGAGCATAATTTATATAATTATTGTGATTACCTTAAATATACATAATATATATATAAATATACACTTTATTAAATTAATGAGATTTTCTATGGCAAGTCCTTTGAAATGCCTTTGAAAAATTCACTCTTGAAAAAAATTGCATTCCCATAAAGGAGAATAGTTGGTCCTAGTGTTTAAAGCTTCAAGCAAGAGTTGCAACTACTCACACGAATATGATGCAATAATTCTTGAGCAAAAATTAATAATAATATT